GCAAAAATTAAAAGGTGGATTGCGTGACATTTAGTGACATTGTCACCATCTTTGTTTGTTCCTAGACATGCTCTGCCTCTATTCACGTCTCTCCTGAATGTGGTGTGCGCTTATGACCCGGTGGGTTATGGCATCCCGTACAACCACCTGCTCTTCTCTGACTACCGGGAGCAGCTGGTGGAGCAGGCGGTACAGATCCTCATTGTGACACTGGAGCATGATGGAGGGATTCCCCACCCCCCTGCCTCTCCATCCAGCATAGAGGAACAAGAGGTAACTTCAAGACTGTGACGAAGACACTTGATGGCTTTATTGCATTTAATTAATGTTATTCAAATCTTTCTGATTTTGTTCTCCTCAGTCTACAGGACCAGAAAACCTGTTTGTGAATTATTTGTCAAGGATTCACAGAGAGGAGGTATGCATATCAGTGTTTCTTAAAAATCCTCCAATGTCATTACTTTAAAGACTGCATTGTGAAAATCTGTATCTTTGTGGTCTCCCAATGGTAGGACTTTGATTTTGTACTGAAAGGCCTGGCTCGTCTGCTGACCAACCCTTTGACCCAGACTTACCTGCCTAACTCCACCAAGAAGATCCAGTTCCACCAGGAGCTTCTGGTGCTTTTCTGGAAACTTTGCGACTTCAATAAGGTTAGAACAAAGATAAAGGCTTCTTTGGGGAGGCGATGCATTAAAAGGTGCTTTCATTTGACGTCACAATCTACTTTGTGTTCCCACTGCAGAAGTTCCTGTTTTTTGTCCTGAAGAGCAGCGATGTGTTAGATATCCTGGTTCCTATACTCTATTACTTGAATGACGCGAGAGCAGACCAGTGTGAGTCTCCTCAGTTGCTTCACTGCACACGACAAACCTCTAATAGAAGCATGCATTTAACAATTTCTGGTGTGATTTGTCTTTTCTGCAGCACGTGTTGGACTTATGCACATTGGTGTGTTCATTTTGCTGTTGCTGAGTGGTGAGAGAAACTTTGGCGTGCGCTTGAATAAGCCCTATTCTCTCCATGTGCCTATGGACATCCCGGTGTTCACAGGGACTCATGCTGACCTCCTTATAGTGGTGAGACACACCTGCTGCTGTGCTGAAATGGGAGTTTTCTTGATAGCTAACTAATTCAAATACAGTGAAGTTTTACAGCTGTGGCTCTGTTTGGTTTCTAGGTGTTTCACAAGATAATCACAACAGGCCACCAGCGTCTCCAGCCTCTCTTTGACTGCCTACTAACCATCATTGTAAATGGTGAAAATGCATTCTATTTCAGATTTTGTTTTCAACATAACCACGCCATGACAATTAGTTGTTACAGTTTTTATTTCACACCCTTTTAATACTCCTGCTTATCCTTCAGTTTCCCCTTACTTGAAGAGCCTGTCAATGGTAGCAGCTAATAAACTGCTCCACCTGCTGGAGGCCTTTTCCACCACCTGGTTCCTGTTCTCTGCAGCTCAGAACCATCACCTGGTTTTTTTCCTTCTCGAGGCTTTCAACAACATTATCCAGTACCAGTTTGATGGTAAGAGAAAGCTGGAGACATTCAAGGCATAGATAGATAGATAGATAGATAGATAGATAGATAGATAGATAGATAGATAGATAGATAGATAGTTCTTTTATTGTGAGATACATTATTTTCATAAGTGTCCATGTTTCTCTCCCCAGGAAACTGCAACCTGGTTTATGCCATAATTCGCAAGCGTAATGTGTTCCATCAGCTGGCTAACCTGCCCTCTGACCCCAGTTCCATCCAGAAGGCTTTGCAAAGGAAGAAGAAGTCGCCCGACGTCATTTCCCGCACCAGCTCCCAAGAGACTGTATCCATGGAGGGCTCACACCCTGCAGTGCCAGCGGAGCCCGGTACACTAAAGGCCAGCCTGGTTGCTATGCCAGGTAATGACTCTACGTGTTGTTTGTATGGTAATGTTGTAATTTCAAAACAATCTATTCACTGTGTGTTAGGCACAGCACACATAACATATATCTTCACCGGACACTTTATTACCCTAAACCCATTTTTCCTTCAGAAGTCTTTTAATTTTTCATGGCACAGATTCAAAAACAGTGAGGAAAACATTCCTCTGAGATTTTGATCCATATTGATATGACACCAAACAGTTACTGCACATTTATGGGCTGTAAATTCACGATGAGAATCTCCTGTTCCACCACATTGCAAAGATGCTCTATAGGTCTACGATCTGGTGACTGTGGAGGCCATTCAAATACATTATCTTCTTCAAAAAACAGACATCATTTGAGATTTGAGATTCGATGTAGGCATTGATAATTTGAGATTCGTCACATGGAGCGTTATCCTGCTGGAAGCAACAATCAGGAGATTGGTACACTGGTTATAAAGGGACTGATATGGTCATTAATAATACTCAAGTCCTCTGTGGGGTTTAAATAATACTTAGTTGGTAATAAGGGGCCCAAAATGTGCCAAGCGTTCATGTTGTTCACACCAAATTTTGTCTCTACTATCCGACTGTAGCGGCAGAAATTGAGACTTAGCAGACCTGGAAGAGTTTTTCCACCAGCCCGCGTGAACT